AAAATAACTACTGTAAATCTGAAATAAAAATAAAGCTACATAGAAATATATAAAAAAAAAAAAATATATATATATATATATATATATATATATATATATAAAATGAAAATAACAAAATTACTCAAATTTGAATTCAATTGAAAACTTAAAATATGAAATGAAATCCGATTCAAAATATTAATAAATACTATAGTACATAAATAATACTGAAATAACATGTTTGAGCAGTTTAATACACATCCTTTAATATTTGTTTTCTATGATATGAGTGTCTGTGTGATTGGTCTTGTTTAGATGTGGATGATGGTGACACTGTAACTGATTACATGGCTCAGGAGAGGGAGAGAGGAATCACCATCCAGTCAGCTGCTGTTACCTTTGACTGGAAGGATCACAGGATTAACCTCATATACACACCAGGTACGTATGTGTCCAAACAGTGTTGTATTCAATACAGGGTAAGGGACACACACTGCACAAATTTGGGATGGGTACAATATATATTTTTAAAATGATTTTTAAAAGAAGTTTTGTATGCTCACCAATAGAATAAAATAATAAAGACAAATATATATATATATAAATGTTGATTTTACTCTGGAGTTTGAGAGAGCTTTACGAGTGTTGGATGGAGCGGTTGCTGTGTTTGATGCTTCTGCTGGAGTAGAGGTTTGGCAGAAATTATTTGTGAACATAATAAATCATAAGTAAATTATTAATTATATTCATGTATATTAATTATTATTGTATTTGAATTAATAATACAATTAATTGTAAAGCCAAAATCTTTTCTGTTTATTTATTTATATATATATATATATAAAATTGTTTATAATAAGGTGTTTTTGACATGAATTTCAGGCTCAAACCATGACTGTGTGGCGGCAGGCAGAAAAACATAAAATCCCATGTGTGTGCAGCTAGGTTATACACAAATTTTTTTTGCTCATTTCTCAGAATCTCACTTAAATTTAGAGAATCCATTAACACAAATTTGCATGTGTTATTGATCTGAATGAATGACTGCCGCTCACTAAGGTTTCATCTCACTCTCATTTCTCCTAGCCTGAGTTACTCTATACACAGCATAAAGACTAAACTAAAGGCCAACCCTGTTCTCCTTCAGATGACCTTTTTAAACATAGTAACCAACTACAGTTACCAATGAAAAGATTCATTCTGAATATTTAGTATGATTTCCAGAACCCCTATTGGCACAGGGAAGAGCTTTACCGGATTGGCGGACTTGATCACTAGGCAGAAAATGAAGTAGCAGGGGAGCTCAATTACATATGATGGTTGTACTTTTGAGACCAGCACCCTTCAGCCCACAGATGACCCAGATGTGCTCCAGGCTGACAGTGAGGCCAGGCCACTTTGATAGAACAGGTGAAAAAAAAATATCTGAAAACAATAGAATAAATACTGATACATTTATTGTTATTTGCCACATCTCGAGTACAGTAGGTTCTTAAAGGTATACGTCAAAAATTATGATTCTGTCATCATTTGCTCTCTTTTATGTATGATTTACTTTCTCTGTGGAACACAAAAGATATTCTGAAAAATGTGTCCAAACAACAATGGACCCCACTGGCTTTAATTGTATGGAGAAAAAAAAAGCTAAGGCATCTTCTATTGTGTTACAGGTTTAGAATGACTTGTGGTTCGTGATGGCAGAATTAACATTTTTGGCTGAACTTTTTTGTATGAATTGGACAGGTAGCAGATCTAAATGATGATTTTGCGAAGCTGCTTCTGGGACGGTACAGTGAAAACTTTGATGCAGTGCCTGCAGGGGAGGTAAGAATATGCAGCTTCTCTATACTGTGCTCCAGGTTTCTTTCTCTATTGGTTCAGATACATTTGGCTATTGAATAAACAGAATTGAATCTGAATATCCAGTTGAGGGAGGCAGTGAGATGAGTGACATTAGCTCGTAAGGGAGTTCCTGTGTTGTTTGGAAGCTCTCTGAAAAATAAAAGGGGTTCAACTTCTGCTGGATGCCATTACTGCTTACCTTCCTGCCCCCAATGAGAGAAACCATGACCTGGTGTGAGTGCACCATCCATCAGCCCCCTCATCAACTCATTTTGCTAAAGGAGAATAAATCATGCTATGATTAAATGTATATTTGTTCCTATCTGTCCAGGCGCTGGTATAAGGATGATCTGTGTGCGTTGGCATTCAAATTGGTCCATGACAAACAGAGGGGTCCACTCATGTTTGTTAGGATCTATTCAGGAAGCATGAAGGCTCAGTCGGCAGTGTACAACATAAACAGGAACGGAACGTAGGTTCTTACTGGGGAAAATCTGGCATGCGCAAAGCTGACTTCATACGTCATCCGCCCGGAACTGCTTCCATTTACAACAGTGAGCACAAGCTAAATTCAAGTGATTATTATGTTTTGAATATGGATATTTTTCTTACAAAAACGCATCGATTCACTACAGGAGGCCTTTGTTCACCCCCCGGAGTCGTGTGAGACACTTTTTTTTTATGGATGGGTGCTTTTTATTTAACTTCTTTTGGACTGAAGCAATGCGACACCCGCTGACTGCAATGATAGAGCTTGAAAGATCAAAGACAATTTTTAATATAACTCTGACTGGATTCGTCTGAAAGAAGAAAGTCATATACACCTAGGATGCCTCGGGGGTGAGTAAATGTTTTTTTAATTAATTTTCATTTTTGGGTGAACTAACCCTTTAAGCTTAGTGCTTTGAAAAAGTGTCTTAATGTATTACATTGTGACACATAACCCATCCTGCACCATTTGTGCTACGGACATCAAATACCTTGAATCTTGTGTTGAGGAGAAGGAAGCACCTAAGTCATAATATATATAATAACCAGAATATCATAGATTTGGGAGCGTTTTTTTGGGAGTAAGCGATTGCCCAAAACACCCTAGTAACCTAGCAATGCCCTAGCAGAAACTAGATTAAGCAATAACGGGGAAAAAATGTTAATTGTAATCTCTCTTTCTCATTCTCCTGCTCTGCAATGTATTTTTTCACTTGTTTATGCACAGACGATACTGTGTGGCATGGGAGAGCTACACATTGAGATCATCCATGACCGTATTAAGAGAGACCACAACATTGAAACTCACCTAGGACCCTTGCAGGTGGCCTACAGAGAGACCATCCTCCAATCAGCAACTGCTACAGGTGAGGCAAGTGCAAACTCTACCCTCATGTTTTATATGGTAGTCTACCTGTTAAAATCATATTACGAAGAAACATTAGAACTTTTTCTTTTCACCCCAGTAGGGGGAGACACAGTCCATCATGGCGACACTCAGACAGCACACACCTTAGCAACTAAGTAGGAGTATAAAGGGTCACGCAGCCCTCCTGGTAAGGCCTCCTCATGTGAAGACCGAAGAGTGTAAAGACCATCGACTCCACCGGGCAGGGACACCGGCAAGGGATATAAGTATCGCTTTTGATTCATTCTTTTTCCTGCTACTTGTTTCTTATATTTTGTTTGTCTGCTTTACTGTTTTATGGTCCAGTGCGACTTATGGTTACAATATATTTTGTCCATGGTAAAAAAAATAGGCATAAAATAAAAAATAAAACAACTTATATGATCAGTCACGTGCCCTGTTTTAGTGTAGGTTCAAAAGTCTGGGGTTGGTAGGATTTTTTTTTATGTTTTCATTTTTGTATAAAATTAATAGATGAAGAAATGGTAAAAAAAAAAAAAAATCCTATAGTTCTACACAGAATAAATTGTAATGCTAAAATGGATTATAATATCAAATAATGCAGTATTTATTTGGAGTAGTCAAGTATTAGGAAATTCCAGTATGATTTGTATGATCATTTCAGACACGTTAGATCATACTCTGGGAGTCAAGAGGCATGTTGTTACTGTGGAGCTTGCTGTCCATGCTCTGATGAAGGAGTCTAGCACTTCCTGTGACGTGACTTTTGAGGAGGAAGGAAATACTCGGCTCCCAGCTGTTGTCAAAGAAGCTGTGGAAAATGGGGTTCAGAGCGCCTACCTCCAAGGTAATGGATGCTTTAAAGCTTTTATGCCTAAATCATTCATCACATCCATATCATTCTGCTACAGTATTGAAGTACATTCAAGTCTATAAATCTGATGTCCTTGTCAGCCATATGCTGTTGGTAATCTAATTTCCTTTCCAGGTCCTGTGCTGGGTTTTCCTGTACTGGGAGTAAAGACAGTTATCCAGCATGTGAGTTTAGAGCCAGGCACTTCTGCAGCCATGGTTTCAACCTGTGTCCCGCTGCATGCTCAAGGTACTCAAAAACTATCCTGTGTCTTTCCCACAGTCACTTTCTAATATGTTGCCACATCTGAGTCCATGTCTTTCTGTGTCAGGCTCTGAAGCTGGCTGGGGGGCAGGTTTTGGAGCCGGTGATGGCTCTGGAAGTGACTGTAGGGGAAGAGTATCTGAGTCCTGTGCTTGCAGATCTCGCCCAGCGACGCGGTACTGTATGCGACATCCAAAGTCGACAGGAAAACAAGGCTACTCAATCATTCTGCGCACTTTGACTTCTGGGAATGCCACCTTTTCTCTGGAGCTATCCAGCTATGAGCCCATGAACACTCAGGACCAGAATATACTGCTCAACAAGATGGCTGGACTGGCTTGAAGCAGTAACTGTCACCAACTGAACTGAGCATTTATACGGACACAAATTTTGATTGCTCTGTGATTGGCTGCTTACATATGGTCCAGAAAATAAATCTTGGGAGACTAGCCTACATCCAGAGACCTTGGATTTTTTTCCTCAGTATAAGGTAAAACATGCTTACTGTTGTTTGTGTGTATATGTACATAAAAAATACCAATCATTTTATAAGAACAATGCATTCATAAATGTTTTATTTAAATATATATTTCATTTATAAAACTTACAACATACCTAGCCTTGGGAAATAATTAAAACGCAGACCTCATTTCAAAAACTTAAAATTCCATACAATTTATTCACAAGAACATTAATTACATTTTAATCAAATTTAAGCCTACAGAGAAAATCCAGATGTACAGAACTGTCCATTTAATAATGAAAACCAGTAATCAAAAATATTAAGTTCTGGCAGTATCTGGCTCAGTGCATAAAACAGCAAATCATAGTTACTGGAATCAATAACATGGTTTTATCTTTTAAAAAGTGTTGTCCTTTTATTCCCTTTAATTGTCTATTGTCAATAGCTTGTCTAGCTGAATGTTGAAGTTCATAAGCCCTTGTATTCCTGACGGCAGTGGCCAACAAATAGAGGTTCTGCAGGTATGCCTCTCCTGATGGTGAAAAAGGGAAAAATATCACTTTCACCAATGAAAAATATGCCTGTGCAAATTTTATTTGCAAAAGCAAATTAAATTATTTGTACAAAGACTGTATTGAATACTTTTTACATTTTCAAAATCCCCCCAACCAATCCAGAACAGACTGCCTTCAAAAAAATTTTTTTTTTAAATAAATAATATTGTAATAAATCTATAATTAACCAAAAGTCAAGGACATTAGAGTTTAGTGAGGTCACTCCACTGCTGAGCATCATGATTCTTACATACATTAAATAAATAAATAAATAATTGAAACAGTATGTTGTATTATTGATTAATACAACTGGTTCTCAGTTCGAGTTCTGGGGACCCCCTGCTCTGCACAGTTTGCATGTCTCCCTTATTTAACAAACCTGATTCAGATCACCAGCTCGTTAGAAGAGACTCCATGAACTGAACTGAATAAGAGAGACATGCAAAATGTGCAGAGCAGGGGGTCCCCCAAGACTCGAACTGAGAACCACTGCATTAATGAATTTGCCATTGTCATAGTTTAACTCACTTGACCATGCGGCAGCGATGCTGGACTAGACGATTATAGGCATTATCCACATCTGTCACGCTTTTATCACTCCATAACCTCTCAGCGACAGCACTGGCTCTTGGCCTGCAACGGCACAAAAAAACAAAAACGTTTCATTTACATAATTCTAAGTAAATACTAGGTTTGGTTTCGGTTTTGGCACAAACTCCTAACTTTAGCTTTTACTTTTATTACATGATAGGAGATGCAGTTAATTAACCACTTGTTAGTAACATGATTACACAACGTGTATAATGGTTTGTCTTGGTGTTGTTGGTACAGTTGAGTGATATATCATACCAGAGTCGAGGAGTGAGGTTGGTAGCATCCACATACTCTCCCCAAAGACAAGCTTCTCCACCTATCACCAGCTTCTTCTGTGCATCTGTGCCTGTAGTTATAAACAACAGCAAAAACAATAACATTTAATACAACATTGTACAAAAAGCGGTCCCTCAAAGCAAAGAGTTGATCCTGTTTGAGTCTGATCTGTGTGTCAAAACGCCTATATCTGAATACCTGCAGACAAAGCAAACCATTTAAACTGCATGGTTCGTGACTGAATAGACGCATAACTGTCAGTGTGTGCAAAGTTCCATGGTCACATGATAAGCATGTTTGTTTGCATATCCAAATGCAAACAGGTCCCTGACAATGTCAATGCTATGACAGAGCTTTGGACCGAAAAAATGATGATGCTCGTTGATATAAGGATATGAGAATATCTGATGTAAATGACTCCATTCAATCACATGCCACCTTTACCACTTAAATATGCTGCCTTTGAATCAGTGTAGCTGACCTTTAAAACCTAAAACCACTCGTACCAACCTTGGTTACACTAAACAAGAAAATTCACCAGATTCATCCATTAACAGACAGACAGACTTCTCAACTCTTAGAGGTCAACTAAAACATACCTCACAACATCATGTTTTGCATAATCAACAGTCATTGTTTTTTACTCTAAACCTTGAGATGTTGTGCAAATTTAGGAGAAACACAAGTCAAACAGAAACAGAGGCCCAAATCCACATAGACTTTATCTGCGAATGACACACACCAGTGAAATTTTGGGGGTCAGCTTTGTAAATGTTCACCCAGTCTTGGCCGTAGCTGATGCGGTTGAGGTACCAGGGTGTGGAGAGCAGAGCATTGAAACCAGCCGCCGTGACCTGCGCCATCTCATCCTGGTACTGCGGCCTGCCTTTCCACACATGGATCTGTGTGTCGGCTTTCAGCTACATGTGTACAAATACAGACACATGTATAACACACAAACGAACAGACGTCAACATGTGGATGTCCCTCTGGACTCCATTTAAGGTCTTTGTAAGGCTTTTCATGCTTCATTCAGATGTACTTTGTCAAAGTTACCAAGCTGAGATTGCACATTTATGCAGATCTAGTCGCTAGTAGCTCTGAAAGAACTGAACATAGTTGATTTTAAAGTGACAAAAAATATGGATGTACAATATTTTTCAAAATCAGCTGTAACAAAAAATAATTTTTGGCTACCAATATTGGCACATCCCAATAAAATGCAATCAATATTTAATCTTAAAAGTTAAAAATTGTCAAACACTACATCAAAAACTGTAATATGTTAGATCTTGAATGTAGTCCAGAGAAATATATCCATTTTGTGTCATTTTTCTGAAATGTCAGATGCTTAGCTGTGACTCAACATGTCTTGCTTTCTCATTAGATCATTAGTTAATGGCCTCTAAACCTGACAACAGTTAACTATTATTCTATACAGTAACATCTAAGAAGAACGAGGTAGAAGTTTTTAGCAGTGATTGATATTAGTGTATTGATTTTACAAAGCTGGAGCAAGGTGGAGGAGGAATTATGGCAAAGCATACACTACCATTTCAACAGTTTGGATTTTTGAGTTTTTCAAGAGTTTTTTTTTTTTAAAGAAATTTACAAATAATTTATAATTAAGAAATTATTTGAATGCTTGGCCAAAGAGATGTGTCTTTAATCTAGATTTAAACAGAGGGAGTGTGTCTGAACCCCAAACGTTATCAGGAAGGCTATTCCAGAGTTTGGGAGCCAAATGCGAAAAAGCTCTACCTCCTTTAGTGGACTTTGCTATCCTAGGTACTACCAAAAGTCCAGAGTTTTGCGACCTTAGGGAGCGCTCAGCCTTACCTTCACTCCATTATCAAACACTTCCTGCCACACCATGTAGCCTTTCTTGGTAGCAGCCACAATATCAAGTAACCTGTTTTCCAAAGATGAATAATACAAAATGACAGATTGTGTTCTGATTAATATTTTCATTTACATTCTTCTGGGAAAAAATAAATAAGCAAACTATCTGTAATGTATACTATACTATAAATGTATTTCCTGACTATATTGAAGCTCTTACCTTTGTATGTAGAAAGACTCCAGTTTGCTGTAGTCTGTGCCAAAGCCCTGCTGCACCATAAACCTCTGAATATCAGGATTGGACTCCCTACAGGAACGATAAGTGGAATGAAAGCATGGCCTTAACTAAAGCAAATAGAGAAAGAGAAACAATACATGCCCTTGCACAGTAGACTGTCATTTTCAGTTAGAATCAAACTTTTTTTTTTCCCATTCTGTTTAGACACTTCAGTGCATTTTTTAGACGGACAAATATGACTGCTGCACTCGTGTCTCACACAAGAGATGTAGCCATGCAAAGTTAAAACAGTTTAAACTTTTACAAAATTTGTGGATGTTTATTTCTTTTCACTGCGTCTCATATGTTTTTAAATGCAATCTGTGTGAATGGCGCTTCGGCTCTTTGGATTAATGCATGCATAAATACATGATGCTGTTTTGTTCATAATTGTTTATGCAATTTACAAAATTATATTTGATTTTTGAGTTAATTTAGACGTAATGCACGTTTTTATAGTTACTTCCTTTCGTTGACAATTTAAATGCGCTGCATTATTTTGCTCATTGCGCCCTCCTGTGGCCTCGGGAGACAAGACAAAAGTTTCCTTAAAGGGTTAGTTCAACCTAAAATGAAAAAATGTTTTTACTTAAACAAAAAAGAAAAGTGTTTATTACGTTTGAAATATGGATATTTTTCTTACAAAAACTCATGGATTCGCTACAGGGGGCCTTTATTCATCCTCGGAGCCGTCTACGGCACGTTTTATTATGAATGCACAAGCTTTATTTGACGACTTGTGGACTGTTCAACTGCAACACCCGCTGAGTGCAATGATAGAGCTTGGAATAGCCAGGACAATTTTTAATTTAACTCCGACTGGATTCATCTGAAAAAAGAAAGTCATATACACCTAGGATGCTTCGAGGTAGGGCTGGACAATAATTCAATATCAATATGTATCGCGATATATTTTTTTTCAATAACGGTGATATGATTTTTAAACATTTCCAATATACATTACCAGTTTCCCATACATTGATTTATTTGTGGCGTTTGACTTCATTGAATAAACATGAGCACTGCACATTTCCAAATCAAAACACGGCGCGGGTTTTTTATATGAATGTATCTCTGAAGGGAACCGACTGTCTTCAGAAAAGTTTCGATGGCATTTTCATTTGATCTGATAAAGTAGCATTCATGAGCGGAGCTTCTTTGTTTACAGCCATTACTGGAGAAACCGCTAGTTCTATCACTCTAAAAGCGCCTCCTGCTGGCAGACAATCAGTTTGCATTTTAAATAAGCCCGTTAACATTTCCAGTTTTTGTTGTTGTTCAATTTTTTTGTTTTCTGCAGTGACTCGGAGCACTATTCATACCCTTTTTCCTGGCTGAAGCACATTTGTTTCAATCTATAAGAA